AAATCTCCTACAACAAATATCTGACATTTATTAATACCACTTTCTTATATCTTTGATAATTACAAAGTTATTGGCGAATGAAGTTTTTTGATGATGGACGGACGGAAAAAAACCTTGTTTTTTATTCCTGGGGTCAAAACTTTGAGAAAAGTGTTTTTGGTCATAGTTAAATTCCGCCCCAAACCAATACTTTTATTACCATAAATTATGAAAAGTAAAAACATGTAGTGATCAACCTGTATAATTAAACATGCCGAATTTAGCGCACCAGACAAGCGTTGGACGAGTCTGGTAAGGCTTTCGGGATGTTATACATGAGCCAGACTATTATTTGCAGCTGTAATTATAATATAAATTATAATATAACTATCATCTAAATATTTATGACAGCTAAACTGACCCATTCTCACAGATTAGCCAGACTATTTTGTTCTTAACTGCACAACATCTTTCACTTACCAAGTTTACACGAGCATTGAGCACCCTAATGCGCATTAGCCGGATGCGAATTTAAATAAAACGCCTGTGTCAACATTTGTAAACCGTTTTAAAAATCCTAATTCGCATTAACTCAGAACGCATTAAATATGTGGGTTATCTCGCTTAAATTTGAATTGAAGTTTTGTGTAAACAAAAATGCGCATTATCTCGTAGCGCTACTAACAAAAAAAAATTTAACCGACAACTAACTGAACGAATATTGAGGATATTTTTTGTGTTTATGTATTTTATAAAAAAAGTGACCACTCCTTAGTTTCATCCAACAACTCCTGAACCTCGGTGGAAAGTTTTGAAAAACTGATCCTGGTATTTCCATTACAATCTGACAATGTAGTAAATAAGAATCTAACATTAAACTTCTCCTTTTTAGAGTTTGCCTTCTTCTTCGTAAGATTCTAAATATCACCTGATTTCTTCTTTCATATAGTAATTGGTTTAACAGAACCATAAAGGCACTGACAATATTTAGATTATCTATTTTTAAGGTTTAAAAGTTTAGAATAATTATTTGTTAAAAATGCGAAAAATCAATATCAGCTATTTAAGCAAAAGCAATATTATTATGTTTTGGATTTTCCTAGGTTGGCAATAGGAAACAGCTGTTTAACGTCAACGTAAAAATCCCTTTTTTAACCCGTCGTGTAAACACGACCCAAACCGTATTTTCACTAAACCGCATTATTGACTAATGCGAATTAAGCATTTGTGTAAACTTGGTAACTAATAGAATTATTTTTGTCGCTTCTATGTCTACGAAATATTGGGACACTCTGTATATTTTATCAGAAGGAAGTTCTATATTTAGTTTCCCGTTTGATATTTTTACCCTGTGATATATTTTTACACACAGTAGAAAACAAAACCTATTATTAACAATTTTTTTACTGAATTCTTTGAAATGTGAGAAATAATACCTACAATATGAACATTCAAATATCTCAAACATTTGTGTTGTAGTGTCCTAGTATTTTTATTAGATATTACAATTCACAATTATAATCTTCAATCAACATAATAACAGATGGGATTTCTCAAGCACTTATTGTTTTACTCATATCTCGAAACCATATGATCTATTCATTAATTACCCTAAACTTTTGAGTAAACAATAGTATTATTTTATCTTAAACATATTTTACGTAATGAATCTAGATTATTATAAAGATGTTATCAGCTGTTTTGTAAGCAGGGGTGGATGGGGAAGGGGAAACCGGCCCGGGAATAACAGGCAACCCTGCCCAAATCCACAAAAACAAAACGACCATAACGAAGAAACATATTTTATTTATTAATATACAGGGTGTCCCAGAAATAAGTGCAAGTATTTTAACTGGTAGTATATTTTGGCTTCAGAAACACGCCTATCAGTTTTTTTTGCGAAAATTTGGATTTTTTTTAGTTTTAAGTTAAGAAAACATAATTTCTTGATAATTTCTCAACATAGGTAGTAGATTAAATTTACATGAAAGAAAATACAGAAAAGATCCAGTGGTTCTCAAAATTTAAGCAAAAAAGCATTTTTGTTTAAATTTTCAAAGTAAAATAACTCGGTTATTTTGGACTTGAAAAACAGTAAAGAGAAAAAATGTTTCTTTTCACCAAATCTGCCACTCTTAAAATACTTGCACTTATTTCTGGGACACTCTCTTCACCCCAAGTAAGGCTGATTTTCGCTCGGGCGAAAAAATCTCTTTTGCCTCCAATTTTTTAAAAATATTGAAATTGTCTTGATCAAAATTTTTATAAAGATCAATATCGGATCGGACATCTGAATTTTTACTATATAGCTCAGTTTCACAGTGTTCTACTGTTTTCTTTCCATTATATCGATAACGGTAATTTGATCTTGAATATGCTACGGTTTTCAATCACGGTTTTGAGAAACTTTAAGACTTCCTGTTCCATTCAGTTCAGCTGGCCCAATCCTCTGTGAAAAACATTAGTTTTAACTTTTCAGGTATATACTTTCTTACAGATTGTAGAAAGAAATTCTCTCTTTTCTGGTACAGTAGTAGCCTCGTCATGTATACGTGTCTTAATTTTGGTATAATTCTCATTGCGTAACTTTTCCTAGTTTCTACATTTGATATTTTGTATAATAATGCCATGACTCAAACGAAAAAAAACTTGGCAATACCTAAACAGTGGATATAAATGTGTTTTAATAAAAGAATAGTGGTAAAACTATACAGAATGAGTCTTAAATAAGTGCAAATATTTTCAGTGGTGGTTCGACCCCAAGAACACGTCTATGATTTTTTTTTGTAAAAAAAAGATGTTGAAAATCGTGTTTTTTCTTTTAAATTTTCCTGTATATTTTAGAAAATTTTTTAGAACGTCCTGTTCACCGCAAATTTTCCCACGGTATAGTTTCTTAATCCTTGATATAACGGCACAAAAAGAGATGCAAATACAGAAAGATTTAGGTGGTAAATTTGTTTTAAAATAAATCAGTTTTTTGTTTAAAAATTCAAACTTTAATAACTCGGTTATTTTGGACTTATTTGAAACACGGTAAAGCGAATATAATATTATGTTTCTTTTATTCATATCTACCAGCCCTGAAAATATTTGCACAAAGCAGCACAAATAAGGTGCACTTATAGACTCACCTTGTATAATAAAACATTTCAAATGGAACAACAAACAACAGATGTTTATTAAAATTATAAGTGTCTCAGAGGAAGACATCTAACAATAGTTATTTCACAAATTGGTGTTTATGTTTAAAAGCAACTAACGATTATATTGATGCAAATTTATTAGTTAGTTAGGCAGTCACTAAGAATCTTACGTAACTTTAGTTAGAAGATTAACCATTTAATTTTTGCTAAATCAATCTTTTTTGAGCTCTGATCGGGACCGGCCCATCTTCCCACCGGCCCACCGGCCCATCTCCCCACCGGCCCACCGGAATTTTTCCCGTTTTCCCATATGGCCCATCCACCCCTGTTTGTAAGTATTATTAATTTTAGACAAACGAAATGAAATTTTTGGAAATATATATTAAAATTTGAGAAAATTACCTCCATACACAATAGTTTCGTTGTCTTTTTCTTAGACTATATTATTATTCTACATTGATTTTCTACAAAAAGTTGTGTAGCAGGCAATTAGACAAGGAGACAGCCTTAGTCCCTTCTTATTCAATCTTTTAATGGACATCATCATAGAAAAGGTGATCTCGATGAATATCGGTTATCGAATGGGACACAACAGAGAAAGCATGGTGTGTTACGCTGATGATGCAGCCATTATAGGGGAGACAGAGACAGAGCTTCATAAATTCTATCCGGTAAGCCGAGAATTAAATATGATTATCTCCACAGAACAAAACTAAATGCTTAACTTTCTCTAAAGAGCCTGTAAGATGCAAACTGGTAGTAGAAAACAAAATTATTGAGCAGGTATTACAGTTCAGATACCTAGGAATAGATATGTCGTACTACCATATGATCCAGAGAAAGATCTGAGAAGCCAGATAAACAGAGCAACGGCCATGTCAGGATGTCTAATACAAATAGTGTGGACAAACCCCTTCATGCGAACAGACAGCAAAATTAAAATTTATAAGACCTGCATCAGACCAATAATGACATATGGCATAGAAATCCGAGAGGAAACAAACAAGACCAAAAACATGTTAAGAGTCGCTGAAATGAAGAACTTAAGAACCATAATGGGGAAGACTAGAAGAGACAGAATTAGAAACACAAATATCAGACAACAATGTGGAATACAGGACGTAGTGAGATGGGGTAGGCAAAGAAAAAGACAATGCTTCGCACACGTAAAACGCATGAAAGAAAACAGGCTACCACACATAGCCCTTGAAGGGAAACCCATGGGTAAGAGACAGCCGGGAAGACCTCCAAAAAGATGGAAAGACAGTTGACAGTCCATCTCCCAAGAACTCCTACAGAGGCAACCTTAAAATTAACAGATCGAAAGATCTCAAATAAGTAAAAGAAGAAGAAGAAGAAGATTTTCTACAAAAAGTTGTGTTAATCCATCTTTTACATAAAAGTTTGTAAAATAAATTGAATAGTTATGTGTTTCAGTGATTCTGTCATATTTAATTAATATAATGCGGATTTTCATTAAAAATACTACTAAAACTTGAACGAATTTCAAATCTTTATTCGAAAATAAATTACTCCCATTTGGAAGCATTAAAAGATATTTTATCAATCGTTAATTTATTATTTATTTAATATATTTAACGTTATTTTATTTTCTGTAAGAAATGGTATAGTTCTAACTTAACATAGAAAAAGTTATGTTCCTAATATAGTTTCTACTGGCATATAGTATTTTTTTTATAATTTAAGTGACAAATGTATAAGGTTTATTCTTTAGCACAGACACTTAAGAAATTGACATGTTTACAAAAAAATGCCCACCATCACTTTTTTGTATATGTTTTTAGTGACGGTGAACATGAGGATAGGTACAATGACACAGAATGACGACAAAGCACATAAAAAAAAGAAAAAAAATACAACCAAAAGTTCTATATTTGAAAAATGATAATAATATAGATATAAACACCATCACCAAAAAGTTGTCTAACAATTATTATTTCGGTACACCTATAAGATATGTAAGAACATTATAATTATAAGTATACAATCATTATAACGAGTAGAATAATACTTATATATTTTTTTTTGAATTTTTGAAGGAGGTTATGAAGGAAGGGAAGGAATAGAAGGGTCCAGTGTTGTTTCAGCTTCTTTAAAACTTAGTTTTCCCAAAGATGAAGTTTCCTGGATCGGATGGATTTTCCGACACGAAGAACTGTTGCCACAGCGACTGAAATTGTTGAAAGTTCACTTCCTTCTGTCCCTGTGTAAAAAGAATTAAAGTAAATTAATATTTGGAAATGGTTGTGTTACTAAAGTCAGATGAAAAAAAAAACGCAACGCAGAAAATTTTGGTCAAATTTAAAGTGTTATATTTTTATTATTTTCAGCCCTATTTTCATTATTTTTTAGCAAACTGTATATAAATATATCAACATTAACTCGTAAATTAAGGTTTTTATAAACTCTAGTATTTGGTATATTATACAGGATTAATCGAGGGGTTGTTTTTTACCTTAACTTTAAAACACCGTGTGCAATAATTTCGTGTGTAAATTTTCCTAAAATATAATTTTACGGTCAGAACCATGACTCCTAAGCATTTTGTTTTTTGATTCAGTCAATACCTGGTTTGGTTAATTTTTAAGAGCGAAATGAACTGATCACAATCAATTTGCAATTTTTTCAATTATCATTACTTTCAATTTCATTACTTCTTTTTTTTGGTGGCCATTGTAACGTCACATTTCTGCATTGAATACTAAACTAAAAAAAAATTTATTACTATACTAAATTAAAAAAAAAGTTAAAGATTAACGATACAGTCTTGGTTTTAATAAACTACAACTGCCTGTATACGTCAGTGCATACTGTCATTGAGGCTGCATATATCATATTACTTTATGCTTTCCCATTCTTCGTTAAGAACCAGGCGAAGTTCATTCAATGAAGCTGGCACCGCTTCGCGACCCCTAAACCTCCTGCCAAGCATTTTCCAAACGTCGATTATAATGGGCAGTTCATAGTAATACCCTTGATTATGAATAACTCATTTTATCATCAAAAATAAATCCTCTTCTGGGACCGACGGGCTAACTTTAAAAATATTTTCGAATCTACCAGAAAGCACTCTGAATCACCTAACTACTTTAATAAACGTGTCATTCCAAAATGGTATTTTTCCAAAATGTCTTAAGACGGCAATAATCATTCCTCTGCATAAAGGAGGAGACAAAGATGAAGCTTCTAACTATCGCCCAATTGCACTCCTTCCAACGCTATTTAAGATCATAGAAAAGTTGGTTAAAAGAAGGCTGGTATCTTTTCTGTTTAAGTACAAAATGCTTACTGAATATCAATTTGGATTTCTAAGCAACAAGGCTACAAATGACGCTATGTTTTCCCTCCTTAATAAAGTTTACTCCAGCCAAATAACCATCATTCTACAGCAACAATTTTCTGTGATTTTTCTAAGGCGTTCGATTGTGTAAATCATAAGATCCTAATTAATAAACTGCAGCACTATAGGTGCAGGGGGTCATCTCTCGAATGGTTTAAGTCGTATAACAAAAGCCAACTTGTGAGGGTGGATACCACGTTGTCTTCTAGCAAGCCAATAGAATGTGGAGTACCACAAGGCTCAGTACTAGGCCCTATTTTGTTTCTTCTTTTTATTAACGACATTGCTAACATAAACATCAGTGGCAAAATATGTCTTTTTGCGGACGACACTAGCTTCACTTGGAGCAACAAGGACATCACGGCACTCCATAGGATTATATCAAATGACTTAATCACCATTAAATCTTGGTGCGATTCGAACCTCCTGAGACTCAACATTTATAAAACTAAAGCTTTGTCGTATAAAACTCGCTGTAGCTTTTTGTACTTAACAACACCACCATTGACGTCGTAAAATCTGTAAAATTCTTAGGGCTTGTTGTAGACAATTCTCTGAAATGGGACATACATATCGAAGCTTTGTCGAAAAAATTGAGCTCTGCCTGTTTTGCATTAAGGTCTGTTACTAAGGAGCTTAACTTGTCAGTGGCTAGAACTGTTTATTATGCACTTTTTGAGTCGCACCTCAGGTATGTCCTTCCATTCTGGGGTACGTGTCGTGCGACTCAATTTGACCGCATTTTCAGGCTCCAGAAGAGAGCTGTTCGATATTCACTGGGACTAAACAGCAGAACTCATGGCCGGGACTTTTTTAAAGAATTAAAAATATTGACTCTTCCTTCCTTATTTATATTTGAATCCGTTTGCCTAATACGTAAACATGTATCAGCTTCTCAAGAAAGGTCATCTCACACTTATCCATTCAGGAACGCGGAGCAAGATCTTTATCTACTTACCCCACGCTCAGAGTTAAAAGTTCAATATTATACAACTCGAAAAAAATGCACAATCACCTGCCATTTGAAATCAAATCCATAACATCATTTTTTTCATTTCGCAAAGCATTGAACTCTTATTTACTAGACAAGGCTTTCTACGCCGTAAATGAATTATATTTTAAAAATCGAATTTGATCTTGTAAACACTGGTCTAATGTTTGCTATTGCTATATTTACGAAAGATATCGAAATAAATTTATTTAGAGGTCATTGATATTTACTATAAACTAACTAAATATTTTTGAATATTATTTTTATTTTTTTGTTCTTTGACATTGTAAACATTTATAAATGTTTATTTTAAACTATAAGACTGAAAATTTCACACCTCTACTTTTCAACCAATAACATGCTTTAATGTTGACTAGTTACCATGGCAACTGAAAAAATTTCCGGAAATTTTTTCGAGGCGCCACGAAACTTTAGTGGAAATTTTTTGACAGTTGAAAAGGTAAACATAAGATCTACAATCATAATGTGTATGAACTACAATGTCTATATATTGAAATATTACCCATTTGAGTTTTAGCAATACCTTGGCCAACTTAACAAATTGAAATTATTTTAAAATGTCATGTTATTAATATATTTTTTTTCAAATTTAGGTGTGAAATTTTCTTACCGAATACCACGCAAGCTTAAATTATTCCTGGAAATTTTCTTTCGGGCACGAATATTTTAGGAAAATTATCCCTCGTCTTCGACTCGGGATAATTTTCAAAATATTCGTGCCCTCAAAAAAATTTCCGAAAATAATTTAAGCTCTTGTGATATTATAAGTGACAATATTATTTGTATAATGTTTTGTATTATGTTTTGTTTGTTTGTTTGTGTACCTTGTTTGTTTACTTTGTTTGTTTAGTTTACCTTTGTCTACAAATTGAAAATTGTTTTGACAGTAACGGCATTTATTTATTTATTTAATATATTGACAAGGGTAGTCCACAATAATCACCAAAGCCGCCTTGTCATATTGAAAAATATCTTCAAAAAGAAAGGATAATTGAAAAAATTGCAAATTAGGTATTGGTGCAAGTTTATTTCGCTCTTAAAAATTAACCAAGGCATGTATTGACATGATCCAAAAAACAAAATGCTCAGGATACATGGTTCTGACCGTTAAATTATATTTTAGGAAAATTTTTCACACTAAATTATTGCACAGGGCGTTTTAAAGTTAAGGTAAACACACAACCCCTCATTTAACCCTCTGTATATTAAGCCAAATATTACGAATTAAAGTTGATATAATTATAGAGAGCTTGCTAAAAAACTCCTGAAAATAGGGCTAAAAATAAGAAAAAATATAACACTTTAAAAAATCTGAGTGTATTTGAGTTGAGTAATGAGTTTGAACTGAAAGTTGTGTCAGATATTTTTGGTTGTTGGCACTTTTGGTTGTTTCTTGTAAAAAAATTAGATCATGCGTGGAAACATCGATTAAAACGGTAGCAGACCGAGCTGGGAGAATAGTGCAGTAAATAGTTGCTTGATTTTTTATTCTTTATCTTCTTAATTTTTTAATTTTTATAAAGATTATGTCTCATTTGCGTGGAAAAAAACATTAAAAAAAATATAGGGTATTTTTGAAATTTTTGTATAAGTAAGTAATATTATCTAAAATAGAGGATTTCGTTTGCCCCCTTACGTATGCCTCGTAGCTACAGAACGGATCGACGTATTTTTCCTGGAAGAATGATTAAACTTAAGCTGCCAAAGAGGAAGTTAGGTAATGATAAATTTTAGAATCAGAAAATTATTTATCTGTATATCTTTAATTAGTACTTTTTGTTACAACTCCATTTTTTGCTAAAAAAACACATCTAGGCTTACGTTATATACGGTATCAACTAAACTTGTTATTTCCTTTTTAAAAATAGAAATGAGTCCTTCGATTTTCCGTTACCGTTATTAGTGTCGTTAACTCGATCTTCTTTTGCACAAACCAATTGGCGCAAATGTCCGAACGAAGTTACGAAATGCTTTTCAAAGCTTTCTTTGATCTACGACATTCCATATCTTTTGGCTATTCTTAAAAGCTTCTTTTAATTTGTTTTTAATATAGGTTGAAATATAATTATGTCGGATGCACTTTTTCCAAAGTTTGATTCTATATCTACAGTAAGTCCCCGGATTGTTTTTACAAGAGGAAAACCTTTTTTATTATTGACATTTTGAGAAAAATACATTCTTCATAAAAAAATTTGCTAGTTCTAAAATGGTTAATCTTGTTTATATTTTTCCAAATTTCCATACTGTTTTAGAGAAAATTAAAAAAGCCATGAAAATATAGTTGATTTTTTTCTAGTCCTAAAAATCCTAGTCAAAAGGTCATAAAAATTGAAACACGTTTCTATGATAATACAATTTCGATTTGATATTCTCATTCTGTGATAGATGGTTATTATTAATTTTGATTAACGTCATATTTTTGTTGTTAAAGTATCACATTTTCCAATAACTATTATCACCCTTAACGTAGCATTGAACTAAATAAATTCCTCCTCAAAAAATATGAAAAAAAGTTCCTATAAACATGGGTATAGAAATGCATAGTTTTAGAGTTACAGGATGTTAAAATTTTTAAAATTTTCAAAAAGGTTTTTTGTTATTATCTTAAATACCATTATTTTTTTATTTGAAACTGCTGTATGTTGGAGTAACAGTAATAAAATCTAATAGTAATAATATTTAATAATAAATTAGGTAAAAATAAAATTTATTACTTTTTTATTTTTATTTTAATTTTATTAATTGTGATTAATAAAATTGCGTTTATCTCATCAAGGAGGCCGAATTGGACAAAATATCAAGAGATATATTTAATTGGCATTAAACGACCTTCACAATTTTGATATCAAAA